GTTTTAGGCTAACTACATAAAAAAGAAGTTTAATTTAAAATAAAGGACACACGAATAATTAATCAGGATTTGTTGCCTTGAAACCACAAAGCTTAAAAAAAGACCCACCCCTGTCACCATGACACTACAACAACAAACCACCGACTGCACAAGTTTACTGAAGCTTTAAAACAATTAAAACAAAAAAAACCCTCAAATTTATCAGCTGATTTTACATGACTAACAGCGAATTAGCTTAAAAAGCAAAGTGGCATTTTAAAAAGTTAGTTGTATTTGATCAAAACTCACTTTTCATTTGCTTTAAAACGACACACAAACCCCGCGTTGAGGAKAATTAATGTAACACAAAGATATTACCTTGTTTTGAACGCTGCTACGCGGAGTATTTGATCAAAACAAGACGATGATGTCGATGTTTAGAAYGCTAATTATCAGTCTTCAGGAGTGAGGCACTGATTTAGCTGACAGACGTGTTAACCCAAGTTAGAACARGTGGGTTAAATTTAGCCCCGAGTTTAGCGTTAAAGGCGTTTCTTCTACCCTTACAACCGAGATAAGAGTATTTCATCTGTTTTAACTACAAACGCTGTTTAGTAAATTTAATATTTCCAATCATTATCGTAATTAGTTAATGTAATTAGGTATTTATTGCGAGTTGTGTTACCTGACAGACAGCGCTGAGGGCACAATAGAATACTACTTAGGAGAGCTTCGAAGCCCGACTCGGAGCGGTGATTGGTTGTTGCGCTAATCAGGGGCGGGGCGTAACTAGGGTGTAGTTTTAAAGATGAACCAAAAGATGGCGCTGTTTCACATCTTTTATTGGGCTCTCGTTGAAGTCTATTGAGATCCACTTKGTTTATTTTTTTAAATTTGTGTTTTAAATTAACTAAATAAACAAATAAAATGTGTATTTGTTTTAATTCACACTAGGAAAAGTGATGTAAAGGACAGCAGCCTGACTGAACTATCAGCAATAGAATATATAAAAACATCTATAACCTGCTTTTGTTTACAAAAATACTATCGGAGAAGAGCAGCAAATCTTGTTTCTTTAATCCTGAAAGAAAAATAAAGTTTAGGACAAGATATTCAACTTTCAAAGCAGTTTTCTTTGTTTTTAAAATCAAATCTTTGACAGTATTTAAGGGTAAAAAGGGTGATTTAAGAATGAAACGGTTCAGTGGAGAGTTTTATTAGAAACATGTCAGGATGACGTTTGCAAATTTGCAGAAACAAGATTAGAAAGAAACAAAAAAGGGAGAAAAAGCTGGACTGAGAAGAACCAAGAAAAAGAAGGAATCCCAGGAAAACACCGAGCAGCCAATAAAAGCCGATAAACCTGGTTGATAAAGTCAACAGGTGACAGCGGCGGTTTTATGAGGCTGACATTTACAGAGAGGCTGCGGTTCACCGTGTGAGCCGGGCTGGGTCGGGTCGGGTCGGGTCAGGGCCGAGGCCAGCGTCTGTGATTGATGCTCCTGTCAGCGGACGTCTTCTTCCTCTCCATCATCCCTCTGTCCTGAACCAGACCTGCTCCTTTAAACCAATAAAACCTCATTTATCACCATGAAACTGTGTCAGCAAAATATCTCATCAACCACGAAACCAAACTTCGGAGCAACATGTGTAAATGTGACTGAGCTGCTGCCACTTTTTACCTTGTAAAAATAAAATCTGATTTCTGCGTCTTGTTTTGTCACTAACTGAAAGATGACATCATCGTTAAGGCAGCAGTTAAAATGGAGGACGCTTCGCTGTGATTTCTCTCTGAACTCTGCAGCTTCCTGTTTGTTTTGCAGAACGGCTCTGAATATTAGGATGAACTAGAATAGTTCCTGGAGAAACTATGAGAGGATCGCCAGCCGTGCAAAACTCGTCCTATGTTGCTATTAGGGGTTGTTGTATAATACTTGTTTTAGTGGRCATCCTAAATATGTATTAAGTCTGTGTTTTCGATTGAAGCAACTGCTTTAGCAAATATTATCTTTAAAGTTCAAGAAATGACTTATTTAAAAGTCATTTTGTGTGTTTCCTGGCTGAATTTGTGCTTTGGTTCATGAAATATTTTGCCAACAGACATTTTTCTATGCTATTTTTGTCATTTGTAAGACTTGAATACTCTAAAAAAAGTGGATCAGTTGTTGTAAAGARCTTTCACWATTTGTTTCACACTTTATATTCATTCAGCATATGTAAAATGTGCTGATGTCCAGCACTTATATGATATTCCAGGGTTGTTAGGACAGCCATTTTGTATCTGAGTTGGACAAATGTGTTGGACAGTGACAGAAGAATGTCCAATGATGACTGTGTTAGAGTTTTATAAAGTTAAAATCAGTGGTTCATGAGATACTTTAAAGAGCGTTCAGGTTTTGAAGGCTTTGAGGCCTACTCCATTCATTTCCAATGGCATTTGTTGGGTGTCTTTGTCGGCCTAATGCGTCGCCACGGTAACAGTGAAATGTACAGTTGAGTAAGAACACACTTCCTCTGGCCGAGCCGGTCGTTTTGACGTATAACTTGTGTGGGTGCATTCATGTTGAAAATATCTCCTTTCATTTGCATTGAGAAAAAGTGGCCGAAGTTCCTTCGGCTGCTATCTTGTTTTTGAAGTTTCCGCTCCAGTTGTAACAGAGGTTACTGTCAGCTACCAGTAAACCAAGTTTCAGCTCAATAAATCAGAGACTGAGCGAAATCCATTTGAAAATAGCTATGGCGGCCATCTTGGATTTTTATTTTGGCTACTATTTGTGATGGAGCTTACTAGCAGCTACTTGTGTATAAATTATTAGCTCAATATGAGAAATTGGCTGGATTAGAGTAATTTGAACTTAGCTATGGCAGCCATCTTGTATCTATTATTTCAGCTACTATTTCTGATAGAGCTGACCTTTAGCTACTAGTGTACCAAATGTTAGCTAATTAGTTTGAAAACTGGCTGAATTAAATATGTTTGTATAAACCTATGATATGTATCTGCTACAGGTAAGACACTGCCTAACCTACAGTTGGAGTGTAGACTGAGCTGCATGTGGTTTTAAATGGCTGAATGAGAGCCTTTTTTTTATTTCAAAGTTAGCTTTAGCAATTAGCTTACACTTGTGAGAAGCATTGTGTGGAGTTAGCTGTCAGCTACCAAAGGAGTTTTATGGAGGTCTTTGTGTGTTTACTGTGTTTCCATGGTAACAAATGAAACCTGTGTAAAGTCATGTGTGACCTTTAACCTTCATTGACTTTAACTCTCTACAGCCTCAGCCAATCAGGAGGCTGGATTCCCAGCAGCAGCTCCTCCGTCTGAAAACACAGAAATGATGTGTCCTTTCAAACAGCTGCTGTACAAAAAATATAAGGGATATTGAAATAATTTTTAGACCGTGAGCATCAGAAGATTAGCACGTACTTGGCATGATGGCTGAGATATCGCGAGTTAAAAAAGTAGTGTTAGATTTCTGAATCCGGTTTTGACCAATTTTTTCAATGGCAGAGATAGGAGAAGGAACCTGGTTTTGCTGGCTTCTGAAGCACACAGAGAGAAAACCAACTGTCTTAGAGCCAAACCAGCACATTTTCTGAAAGAAGACAAAAAGTCCTACGTTTTGATGTGTAATTTGTCTTTGTAACGTGAAAATTGTGGCTGTAGTAGGAATTTGTTTGCAAAGTTTCTTCTTCAAAATTAGAGCTCACACTCTAAGGTCACATGACCTAGAGTGAGGAGTTTCCCATGTAATCCAATGGGGATTTTTAGATTAGTTTTTTGGGGGATTACGTCGCCATGTTAACAGATTATGTAAAGATAAATAATAGCACACCTCGTGAGAACGACGCCGACGCAATGATGTATTTTTCATGGGGCCCGAACCTTCGGTTCGAGCTGTATTAACGGTGAACGTTCTGGGATGAATAATAAATAAATAGAGTCCATTCTTCATGGTAATCCTAATTACTGTAATTAATTCATGTTTCAGTCCAACCTTAAATGTCTGCAGAGACACTCGGAGGACGTCCTCACAGCAAAAACACATCGTTACTGTGGAACTGCTGAGTCAGCGCTGGCAGCACAGGGATCCAGCTTCTCTTCGTTCTTCGGCTGTTTCTTCTTTAGAGCAAAGACTTTGTGCAAAATTAACAGAAAGCTAAAAATGTTRGGCTGATTCGAGACATTCAAACCACGACTTTTTGTTTTTATACGATTTAAAACATCTTTCTTCATACACATTCAGAAATGTGTTTCTACTTTTGTTTTATCTTTCAGCTAGTGATCGGCTACTTGTAGCTTTTAGAAAGCGTTTTATTTTTTACAATTTAGCTATAGTTTTGCTAGCATTTATTTTTTTTACCTTCAGTTAGCTGTCTGCTAGTTTTAACTTTACCTGTTGATTCTCAAATTTTATATTTTTATTTAGCATTTTGGTACTTTTACGACTGAGCTAGCATTTAGCTACTTGAGCAACTGTTTTTTGTAGATTTTAGCTAGTATTTATGAATGCTAAAATGTTTGAGTTTCATTCAAAACATTTAAAAATGTTAGCCTTTAGCTAGCATTAAATTTTAACCTGGACTTCACATTTCTCTGTTTGTAGCCTGTGTTGCTATATTTAGCTATTACTTTAGCTGCTTTTAATAGCATTTTCTCAGATTTTAGCTAGTGTTTTGCTACGTTTCCACATTCAGCTAAGATTTTGATACTTTGAGCTTTGAATTAGAATTGAGCTTTTATACTTAGAAATGAGATGTTTTTAGATTTTAGCTACTGTTTTGCAAACTAAGACATTAGCTACTAGTTTAAGCTTTTGCAGACAATTGAGCTAATTTAAGCTGATTTGAGCTTTTAGATACAGTTTTGGTCATTTTTGCTTTTCTGTGATAGTTGTGCAAATGTGGAGCTTTTGACTGTTTTTATGCTTATTTTAGCTCATGTTCTGTTTGAGCATGTTTTTAGCTTTTGTTCCGCTCATTAAAATTTTAATAAATTACAGAAGTTGTGTAATTTTCACAGAAAATGTTTTTGGTATCATAAATCAAATATTTTGGATAAAGCTGCTTGTAAACTTTATTTTGCTCCAGACTTTTTATTTTTATTTTTATTTTTTGGAGTTGGTTTAATAAAAATAAATAAGTTTTGGATTCTTAATAAGTTATTAAAATGAACAGATTTTTTAAACCCAATGAGAGAAGATCAGTTTGTACAACATAAATCTGAAGCTTGAATTATTGAATATTAAATAAAAACATGAACAGATCTAKGATCATTTAAATACAAACTCATTATTTTCCTTTAAAGCGCCTGAAAGACTCAAAATAACCATTTATGCATGGAAATGTAATAAATAAGATGTTGATGCTTTGGTGCAGCTCTTCCTCAGACTCACCTGTCTGCAGCTTCATCTGTAAAATAAAACAAACCAGACCCCTCATCTGCACCATGAAGACCACCGACTGGAGGATAACTGTTCTTCTCTTCTATATTTATATTTGTCTAAACTAATAAAGTAAACTAAACTAAATAAAGTGTCTAAACTAATAAAGTAAACTAAACTAAATAAAGTGTCTAAACTAATAAAGTAGTGTGTTTTGACGGCTCCAGGTACTGCAGACGCGACAGAGCTCACAGGCTTTAATGGTATCATAGAGGAGAATTTACTGTGCAGCATAAATCCATCTGTATCTACATTTGTCCATTTTACAAATCCAAACTGTGAAGTCAGACGTCAGAATCAGTTCAGTCGTTTCATAAGCAGAAATAACTAAACCGACGTGGGGCGGGGCTGTGGGCGGAGTCAGAGAACCAACAGAAAACAAAAGAAGGTGAAGGTGGGCTGCTCTCGCCTGCGTCAGGTCTGACAGCCGGAGGTAACGAGTTGACGGTTCCTGCAGGAAGTTCAGGTGTTCGGGTTCAGACGGGCTCAGATCAGGTGGGAAACTTGTGCCTTTGATCGGTCGTGTCTCGGCTCGTCAGCGGCGCTCGCAGCTATAGCGCCACGTTGAACTCGGTCACCAGGAAGTCCACGTGGTCCCTCTCTTTGGTCTTGAAGGCCTCGGCGATGAGGCGGGCGGCCGTCCTGTGCTCGTGGCCCCTCAGGGAGACCCCGTTCACCTCCAGGATGACCTGGCCCACCTTCAGCTGGCCGCAGTTATGAGCCGAGCCCCCCCTCTGAGAGGGAAGAGAGACAAGAGGCGGAGCTTCAGGTAAACGTAAAACAAAACCTCCAGTCTTTACAAAACTCAGAAKGATCGGTCCAAAAAAATAAAAAAATACAACAAAAACCTCTTTGTGCTCAGATTTGTTTACGAAGAGGACAGGTAAGTGTTTTGTTTACACTCAGTGRAGACCCACATCAGTGACAACAAAAGTAATTTAATTACAACAATGTTTACAACAAACAGTCCTGAAGTAAACAGTTTGACTCGAGGCTGGATCATACTTTGTGTCTCAGGTCTTGTCCTCCCTGCTGAGTGACAAAAAGTCMGACGTCTTTCCTCATCGAGTATAAACGAGCCGAAGACGAGACGAGACATAAATCAACACAATTCCTCCCTCTGCCCTCTCAGAGCTCATAGATGTAGGAAAACAACAATAATGATGGCTGGATTTTGTTTTTTTTGTCACTCAATGATCGGTGTTACACTGGCTGTAGAGTCCATCAGGGAAATACTTCTTTTTTTTTAACCGTGGTGACGGTGGAAAAAAAAGAGGAAATCAGCTGCATTTTTTCTTTATTCAGCTGTCTTTCTAGCCTGGCCCTTGCCTTCCTACGCAGTTCTGCTCATTTCTAGTTTCCCTTCACTGCACTGTCTGGGATTTCTCCCACAGACAAGGATTTCTTCAGATTTTCACTTGGGCCAATCAGAGAACAGAAGGTGGAGCTTTGAACAACGTCGATTTTCTGTGCAGTGTCTTCTTGTAGTTTAACAACGGCAGTGGAGGAAGAGAATGAAGTCAGTCCGTGTTGTTAAGGCTTCCAAACTAAATTAAATTTGTCTGACAAAGCAGCAGCTCTTATTTACAGCTGTCTTGTTCGTTTACAGCGCACGCAATTTCCCGTTAGCTTTTTAGCTTAGCCTCCTTCACGGTGAAGCTGGCGTACATGCGTCGCTGCCAACCGTTAGCGATTGGGTAAATCAGATCCAYTCGTTTAAACTTCAGCAGAGGCCACGCCTCCAGGAAGTAATCACTTCTCTATAGCAGAGAGTCCAGACCATCTGTAGGAAGCAAAGCGAAGAACAAGGGGCTGTTTTTTACCAGGTTACTGCCTTTCATTTTATTTATTTGTAGTCGTTCCAGGTGAGTTTAACTCCTGATCCTCCTGCAGGTCCTCCTGCAGATGGTCCAGGTGAGTTTAACCGTGACAACAAGACAGTTTAAAAGCTGCAGGAAACGTTTCATCCTGCAGTCGAGGCTCGGCTCTCAGCAGAAATGAGTCACAGTAATCGACCTCCCTCCACATTCTTCTGATTTGGCACCAAACGTATTATTTTCCTGAAAATCAGGCCTGTAGTCACAGGAAGCTGCTGTGAGAACATGGCAGAGATAAAAGCAGGAAGCGACGGAGCGTCTGGAGGGAAACTAAAATACAGCAGATTCAGAGTTGATCTAAACATGATTAAGTAYAAATTATCTGTCAGGGTAACTGTATCTGATTCTGTAACGAACTCAGTTCAGATAATTTGAATTAGGGTTCCGTCATAAACAATATCTTACCTGTTGCAGATGGATTTCTGAACAACTTCAGATTAAASAATAGATTAAAGGAGAGATATCTTATTTTAAATCCTTCACTTGGGGTCTTTATGAAGTGGAACTGTGATGCTTTGGTCTGAATTCCTCCTGATTGTAACTCCACAAGCCCCGCCCCTTTTCTGAGGTGTGTCTCAAATAAAGTCGTTTTGAGACTGTCTCTTTAAATCCAAACATGGTGCTTCAAACCCCGGCCCCCTCCCGCTTCCAGACCGGTTCGTTCTAGTTTGATAGAGGAGTTTACGGTTATATAGCTAAGCAGAAACTTGATTTACAAATGAATTAAAAGACGTCAACAAGGGAAGACTTGTCCATCCAGCCTTACAAGTTGGAGCCAGAGTCTGACCCAGAACCAGATTCTGACCCAGAACCAGAGAATGAAGACCAATAAATTGTAGTTGGTAAATCCAGACCTTATTTAGAAGTTCTGTCACAAATYATTTGACGTAATATTTCAGAAAACACCATCTGACCCAAACAGAATGCAACACCAGGAGAGACTAAATTATACTTTTCTGTCTCCTAGAGACTCCAAGTACAACTAAATGCATTTAACGGCAAAAAAAGTGGATTTTTCATGATATGTCTCCTTTAAAACTGATCGGACCGACGAGCTAATGGCTGGTCAGAGCGAGGCCGACACCAAAGGGGATTCCAGCTGTCATGAAATGACTCAACTCTTGGATAACATTTATAGCTTCAAGCTAACACCGTTCTGTTTTTATGTAGATTTCTGTGGTTCTTTGCAAAAGACACCAGCAGCTAGCTGTAGCATTTCCAGAATATTTCTGTCTGAACTAAAGCAAAGCTGACCGCAATGCAAAGATGAAATTTAAAAAAATAAATCACTGCAAATGACAGGAAGTCAGTTTGGTGCTCGACTCCTTCAGACTAGCCGTTAGCTCATCATTTAGGTCAGAATAAACATATTTTCACAAAGTGAGGTCGTTCAAAAAAACTCATCTACAACAGGTAAGATATTAACTGTTCATAACCTGTCTACAGACAAACTGTGTCATAAAACGAAGGAATTTTCAGCAGTGGAGTTTTTTCTTCCATCTTCAGCAGTCGAGACTGAGGTCACCTGAGACGAGAGCGAGCAGGAGGAGCAGGAGGAGCAGGAGGAGCAGGACTGATGGGAGCCACAGAGGGCAGAGACTCCTTTCAGCTCTGCAGAGAGCCTTCATGGTTCAGAGAATCCTGCTTTGATGTGACGCCGTCGTCTGAGGCCTTAAAACTAAAATGACACGTTTTTCTCTCCTCTCTGATGTRCTGAGCGTCGAGCGGCTGCAGATATTTTCTTAACAGGACCGAGTTAGTGTTGTTTCCACATCGTTACTGAAGCTGAGCTCTGCTTTGGCTCAGGAACACACAAAAGGTATCATTCTCTTATAATCTACTTTAAAATGAACATTTTTATGAAAAACACAGGTATAAGAAAATTGAGCCGCAGTAATCCTCAGAGTGAAAAATATGTTTTTCTTTAAACTGAGCTGAAGAAAAGCATGGTTTCAGCTTCGTGTTTTGAARGTGATCATAGTAAATCTGCAGCTTCTACCACAAATACCTGCTTGTAATAAAGAACATTAATTTTTATTAGTCTCCTGAAGAAGCAGACTACATTTAGAGTCTATAYCCTTTATTTTATTTATGTGAACATATTTTTATCCAACTAAAGAAAGAAGAGGAGTTACTAGAATTGGATACATTCTCCTGTGTTTTGCAGAGGTTTGGACGTCCCCACCTACACCTAAATAAAACATSCGTCCTGTCCTCCAGCAGCTTATTTGATTCTCAATGTGCTGATTTCCAAACCTTTTATTCGCCCCTTGGCAATCAGCCACCTTTTTTTCCCCTGTTCTTTATTTCAATCAGCGTCTGTGATGAGTGGGAGGCTGGGAGACGGATCTGAACGGGATGTAGGACCGATCGCTGCTCTAATCTTAAAATTGTAAGCCTCGGGGTCTTTTGTGTTGTTTCTGAAAATGWTCGGTGCTGCAGATAATCCCAGAGCCGGAGCCTTTGATGACATGTTGATGACTGAACGGAGCGTTCGAGGTAACAAACCTGTCCATTCAGGCTGAGCTTTGAATATATGGATTTAACTCTGAAAACACAGACCGCTGAAAATCCTTTTTCTCAGCTTAATAGGAAGTTGAACTTTATTTTGAAGGATCAACAACCAAATCATCGTCAGCTGTCCATATGAACACTAAAGTCTTGATGTAATCATCTGTTGTGATCAAAGATTAAATTAGCAGCAGCCTCAGTTTGAGTTCAGCTGACTGTCTCAGACTACTGTCACTTATAATTATAATTATTAGGTTATTTCTCTATTCTACTAAAAGTTATTTGTGACACCTGAAAACTGAACATTTGTATYTTTATATTTTTTTCTTAAGAATGTTGCCATTTCTTACTGAGACAATACCCTCTGGGGATGATTCGATTCAATTCATACTTTATTAATCCCAGAGGGAAATTAGATAACTGATGATGATGGGTTTTTAGTTGAGACTACAACACAAAGTTAAAAATAAAAAGCTATAATGTGTGACAAAGTTATATTTTTGTATGTTTCTATGTTCTGCACAATATATGAGTTGAAACTACCAAATGAGATGATTAGTAAAAAAGCTCATTTATACACAGTATATTAGCTGTGGAGCTAACACCATATATATACAGTATATTTATTAGCTGTGGAGCTAACACCATATATATACAGTATATTTATTAGCTGTGGAGCTAACACCATATATATACAGTATATTTATTAGCTGTGGAGCTAACACCATATATACAGTATATTAGCTGTGGAGCTAACACCATATATATAGTATATTAGTTGTGGAGCTAACACCATGTATATATATATACAGTATATTTTTTAGCTCGGGGGTTGGTGTGATAGCCAGGTAGACCTCACGCAGTAGTAAACATCACTTATCCAGAACTTTTTTCAGTGTAAATACATAAACATGGCGTCGTCTAAAAAAAACTAACCAGCCTACAATATTTTTACAGTCTTGTCTAATGTCACAACTGATCTCAGATCTTTCTGCACAGAAAGGTGGGTGTTTGTTTGGTTCTTCAGAGCTTCTCACCTGTATGGTGACGATCCGTGGCAGCGGCTGGCGAGTGTTTGCTCCGCCCTCGATGGCGATACCGAGCGTGCTGGCACTCTTTGGCACCCTCACCAGTGTGGAGGTGGGCTCCAGAAGCCCCGGCTTCAGCAAGAGAAAGAGATTAAAACCAGTTATAACTTATAAATCATTATTTCTGCACAATAAGTGAACATTATGTTCGCCTCGCCTCCCGTTGGTCATCACATCCATATAAATCTGTTTTCTCTGCGCAGAAAGATTGATTCTTTATTAAGATATATRCAGAAATGTGTTGGAGTAAGAGCTTCAGGAGCCAGAGGCCAAAAACACTGACCTGAATATCATTTCCACAACTCAACTCCTCGTCGTGACAACGCTTCCTTCTTTATATGTAAGTTTCTTTTCTGTTACTGAGGTTTTAAGACTAATTGTTAATTGAACTACCCGGTGCTTCGTGCGGTGCAGCCTACTTCCTGCAGGAGCACAAATATAAAAACAGGAAATAGAGGACAGTTTCTTACMGTCACGAGGAGGAGCAGACCATAATGTTTACAAAATCTTTCTTAAATAACAGTTTTCTTCCTTTCAGCAKCCTCTTGTTGACGCTCAGGGAGAAGAAGGATTGGCTGTTTGGCAGTAAAAAGCTTTTTATGATACACAGTCCATTTAGTCCCCAATTTTCCTGCAAAGTCATTCCCCACAGGGAGAAGAAAAAAACTCGACWGAAAAGCCCAACGGCTCTCTGATCGTAAAAAAAAAAACTCCTGTCTTTTGTTGTTTTTCCTGACATCGATCAACAGAGAGCTTTGAGCTTTATTACAGTACAGAGCAGCGAGTGAATGGATGAATGGATGAATGGATGAATGAATGAATGAAACGGGTGAGAAATAAACATGAGTGAGACATAAAAACAGACGGAGGAGAGAAGAGATCACAGTTGGGATTAGGTTAAGTATCAGGATTAACTGAATAAGATAAGAGAATAAGAGTTTTTTTTCTCTCTCACACCAACATTTAAAACATTTCTGTATTTGAGGGTTTACACGTCCGATCCTCATCTCTAAAACCCAGATTTTAAAGCTTTAGAGAATGCTTTAAAGAAATCTCTGACTATTGTAACATTAGACATTTTTTGATAAACATTTACTTCAACTATGAAAACAAGAATGTTAAAAATTCTGTCGGCTGTTTCGTTTTTATGTATTAAAAAAATTATTGTCACATAAACGTCTCCATGGTCTTTACGCTGCAAAGCATTCTGGGTAAATGACGACTACTGGCTGCTTCACTGTGAGCTCTATCCAGATAGAACTTTGTACAATGCCTGACGTTAGCACTGGAACTAATAGAGATACTGTATACAGTGGGGAAAATAAGTATTTAGTCAGTCACCAATTGTGCAAGTTCTCCCACTTAAAAAGATGAGAGAGGCCTGTAATTGACATCATAGGTAGACCTC